ATAACTGGGCGAATATATTTTAATAAAGTTTCAAATGTCTCATTGTCCATGCGCAAAAAATTGTGCAAATCATGAGGCGTTTCCAAATCTCTAAGTAAAGTCATACGAGAGTACTTTTTTGATTCAAGAACCACTGTTTTGACCACAGTCTCTTCTGTTTCCTACCTTCAAATAAAACTATATATCCTGCAATTATTGTCAGTTTTTTCTTATGATCCATAGCAATTACCACAGCACTCAAAACCACACAACCCAGGGGCTAGCACTACAGAACTGAAATAGTGAGAGAACGCCGCCTGCTCGTCTATTGAGATTTGTCCGTGATTTGTGTACAGACATATCCGCCCTCGTATCCGCCTGTATCTAGCTCAACGCGGATCTGTCCGCCGTACAGATCCGCCGTACATATCCGCATGTGAATGGGGCCCTTAACTAGTAGTCAATAATGAGAACTGTCACGCTGTCACTTTTCGAAAACACAACCCGAAATTTCGCTCAATAAACGTTTAGACAAGTTCTCTAAAATGAATAATTGCCACCATCCGCCATTTCCAGAGAAATTACATACCTAAAATTATCAGAATTTGAAAAAAAATCGAACGAAATTACCTACTCTTTGAAAATATCTCAATGACAGAACAAAATACGGCCTGTTTGACTTATATTTCCACGCACTTGATTGACATGTTAAATTAATAAACAAGAAATTCTGTCCAACCGTTCACTTTCTTATCACTTTCTTACCAGAAGTACAAACAATTCCATAATCGTTAGAAATATTTGCCAAAAAAACATTAACGAGTTAGTCGTCTTAAAAAAGGAAAGATGGGATAATGTATTAAATGAGACATGTCCAGACAAAGCATACAATAATTTCTTGGATTCTGTTATGTACTACTTTGATTTGTGCTTCCCTTTAATAAAGACACGCCGCAAAGAGAATAGAAAACAACAATGGCTTACACCAAACCTAATTTCTCTAAAAAAGTCAGTCAATCTTTATCGCGAACTATCGCGGAAACTCAAAGATTTTAAGAAAGTGTACAGTGAGTTAAATGAAACATACAAAAATGAACTAAAAGCCGCAAGAAAATCATACAATGACAAACTTATCCGAATGTCTATAAAAACCCCCAAAAAGCCATGTGGAATATTATTAATTCCACTCGTAAAGGTAACGAACCCGTAAGTACAAAAATATGCATAACACAAATGTTACGAATAGTTTATGTTTATGCGTAATCGCATTTTTGTTTATTCTATGTAAGGGGAATTCATTCGATGTTATGATGTTGAATAAAGCATATTCGTAACAACAAAATCATCAGCAAATAACTGGAGAATTACTTGCAAACAGTTTCAATAACTACTTTATTTCAAGTACAAACAACTTAAACAATAAATTTAGTCATAAAGTTGATAGAGAATATATCAAAAAACTTATTCCCATAAATAGTAAAACATTCTTTTTAAGCCCAGTTTGCAAAGACGACATAAAAGGTGCTATAAAAAAACTTTCAAACTCTAACGCTTCTGGTGACGATCTCTATTCAAACAGACTAATAAAAAATTGTGAAGATAGTCTTTTAAGTCCTCTTACTCATATAATAAATTTAACTTTTAAATTCTCTAAATTTCCAACGCAGTAGTATTTCCCTTCTTTAAGAAAGGCGATAAAAGTGAATTTCAAAATTATAGACCCATCAGCTTAGTTTCTTCTTTCTCAAAAATTATTGAAATCATTGTTAATGATAAATTAATGGCGTTTTTCGTAACAAATAACCTTCTTAATGATAATCAGCACGGCTTTATGCGAAACAAAAGCGTAGAAACATCACTCTGCGCATTTATCAACAAAATAGTCGAAACCATTGATAATAAATGTATTGCGTTAGGAGTTTTCATAGATATGAGTAAGGCTTTCGATTGCGTAGACCATACAATTCTGTTGGAAAAACTGGAAAGATACGGTATGCGGGGTGCGTGTTTGGAGTGGTGTCAATCATATTTAGAGAATAGATACCAAACAGTACGATTACCTGAAAACAATGAAATTGTCCTATCATATAGATTGGAAGTTAAAATTGGCGTGCCTCAAGGAAGTGTATTGGGACCAACACTGTTCATTATATACGTAAACGATCTGCTAAATCTTTTTACTTAAAACTCTAACATTCACATCACTACATATGCGGACGACAATAATATATTAATTACCTGTCCAAAAAGTAGCGATATCCAACCAATTCTTAGTACAACTATGGATACTGTTTTAGAAAGGATGGAAACTAATAAATTGTGTCTAAATATAAACAAGACAAAATGCGTTCCTTTTGTTACAGCTAGATCTGAACATGACTTACCCCAATACATTATCTATAAGGACTCGAGGATTGAACTAGAGCAAAATACAAAAACATTAGGCATAAATTTAAATGAAAACCTTAAATGGGACCATTATATAAATAACTTATGTAAAAAACTATCGTCGTCCATTTTTGTCATAAAATCCCTAGCACACAAATGCTCTAGTACAACCCTCAGAACATTATATTTTGCTTGTTTTGAAAGCCATATAAGATTTGCAATAATTCACTGGGGGCAATCTCCTAACCTATTAAGAATATTTAAGCTGCAAAAATATGTAGTAAGAATAATTTGCTCTATAGGCTACCGTGCCACATGCCGATCCAGGTTCAAAGAATTAAGCATTCTAACGGTACCATGTCTGTACATCTATGAAATCATAAAATATGCTTATGAGAATAAAAAACACTTTAATTCCCTTTCTCACAACCACAACACTCGATTTAAAAATAACTTGCTACCTCATAAGCATAAAACGACATATTACCAAAAAAGTAGTCATAATAACGCCTGTAAATTTTTCAGTTGCTTGCCAACCGATCTAAAAAACATAAATAATATCAATAAGTTCAAAAACACCTTAAAGTCCTTCTTAGTTAATGCTGAATATTATTCCATTAATGAATTCTTTACATAATATGGCGTTGTCGCGGACCTTACATTATAACTGCATACTGTAATCTTCTATAAATTTTATAATTTTATCATATTTGTTTGTACCGTTTTATTATTTTACATTATATTGTAACTGTTGACATATTTTCCATTTATATATGCGGACTCACTGCATGTACTGTATATATAGTGAAAATAAAAATATACTCTACTCTATTCTACCACAGTTTTCAGAATTTTACCGAAAATCGTCATGAAACCTTCATTTTCATGCCTACTTTATGTCAGGAAAATGTTAGTTTCCATGACAGAGGCAGACTACTTTTCCAGCAGCCTGTCACTTTTCCTGTCGCACCTATCGCATTGCTAAATGTTAATGAAATAATCAATAGTTCTATATAAAAATTGAAATTGAAAAATATTTTATCGGACTGAAGGCAAAATTTTTTAATTGCAAATTTGGAGAAATTGTTAATTGTTTTTCGGATACCTAATTAAAGGTAGTTTCATCATAATCATGTTTTATTGAGGAATATAGGTTTTTTTTGTGTGGATGGTGGAGGATCTTTCTCAGACGATGCGCTACCTTAATAATAATAATATTTATTCGTATTTTATTAAGGTTCTTGCGAAAGCACTAAAACAAACGTCGAAAAGTTTATAATGAACAAAATACGTTTTAAACTAAGAGATTGAAAGTGGGAATTAGTAAGTCTTTAAAGCACGCGCAACGAGTTTAATGGCAAGACGCGAAGCGGAGTGCCTTTTTACGTTGCAAGTGCTTTAAAGACCAATTATACACGTGTATCTTATAGTGTTTATTATTATACCTGCAGTATAATTTAAAAATAGGAAATACAATAAAATCATATTGACGTTATACTTTTTGGGCAGTATAAGTTTATTTAAAAATAGTGACTGATTAGAAAAAAAATAATGAAAATGTGCTGTATCAGGAGTGTATTCAAAACGATATGATTGTGGTGGGCTCTTTGGCGAAATAAGCCCGACCAATCAGCTCCTAGAGCCATTCAGAGCGTTTGAAACATTAACATTTTATTGGGAACCGCTGACTTTCAGTTAAATGGGGGCTATTGTCCTATTGCTTTAAATGTCGCAGTGGGAATTCCCACTACTTAACGACCTAATAAGAAATGTTAAATTATTGGTGAAACGAACTATACTTCAAAATTCGCCCATTCCGCGTCGCTCCACATTGATGGGATACACCCACCATTGGTGCTTCCGAAACACAACCCCGAGCACAAACCACTGTAGAGTATATAAAAAAGAAATGAATGTACACATACCTATTTAACCATTCTTGCGGTGTCTCTTCCACTAAGAGAGCTGCTTCTTCGTTGACAATTGTAGTAAACCACATGGTCACTACTCAACTGCTCGTCTGCCTTTAAAAAAATTCACAGATATCGCAATCCTTGCAACCATCGGAGGCATTGGAAATAATGATGTTGTCGAGATTTCACTTGTTTCCTCGCCTACTTTTTCTAATAAAGCTCTATCCACGTGCACTAATTATCGATTTACTTTTTTAATTGATTAGGTACATGTGGTATACGTCGAAAAGAGAATTTTGTACAGTTGGATATGTAATAATTAATGGTAATAATTAATAAAATTTCGTAGGTTTTGTTTAAAATTTTGAATTATTTTATGCACCTAATTCCTTTGATTTTCAATTGTTTTCCTTGGCTATAACAGATAACGAAAAATGAAATGCAGAACGACTGTTCAACTATGCGATCAAAATAGAGTTGCTATCAGGTCACCTTTGGAATTTTTGTTTACACGGGAAATCACTTGAACTTCCAAAGGCGACTCGACGTCCATCTTTTTTTGATCTTCCGTTATAACATTTTGTCATATCCACTGTGACAGCTAAAATCCAACACTGTACACAAGTCTTTTTTAAGAAGTAAAAAAGAGAGACGTCAAAGATGAATAGTCCAATGTTAAACCCCGCATATTAAAATTAGTGGTACGAAAAAAACAAGACAGACAATTTAATAATTTTTATTTTTTTCATAGACACATGGACAGTAGAACAGATTTGTTTCAGTATGCTATATTATGTTAGTTGAATTGACATAAAGTACATTAAGCTCGACAGGAATGGACTGGTCAAAATCATATTAGGTACGTCATATCACAACAATTAGAAGCCTTGTTTGTAGGATCGCACAAGTTAAGTACAACGATATTGATTGCCATGATATAGGTAGGTGCAAGATATGTTAATATTTGTCTATTTTAGATTTTTGTAATGATGCAAACTGGTGCCTAAACTCTCTACGCTTATTTACAATAACTCTTTGCATATACCTACATTAGTTATTTACAAACAAACAGATATATTATACATTAAACTTAATACGAATTTTAAAAAATTGTGCTATCGGGTTGATAAACCTGATGCAAGCAAGAAGTTTGTAAAATATACAATATTAGTTTTAGTACGCAATATATCTTAATATTATTACGTAATATTAGGTTTTAAGATAGCTAAGTTGTTTAGAAATTGTGCTTTTGTGATGATATGAAAGGCATCGATAGAGATGATGAAAAATCAAACTAAAAAACTTGTCACAGCCATACAACACACACAGACAGACAGACATTTAGCGGTGCACGAGGCGTTGACTTAAGGCGTTAATGGAAGCGTAAACGTCGGAGTCCAAAACATATTGGAAGAGTATGTTACCGCGCAAATTGACATACAGTGTTACAGGGGGGTTAGTGAGGGGTGAGGATTAGAAATAATGGGCAGTGGCGGGTCGTGCATTCTCACAAAACTAACCATACAAATCAGTTTTTTTAAAATCACTGTACATGCAACCTGCACGATCCGCCATTGATAACTGCCCGAAGAGAACATGTATGCAGCAGAAGAACAACATTCGGAATTGCTCACATAGCCTTAACTGCATGATGGTAGAAATGGAATGAACACAAATTATTCCTTAGCATGAAGCATACTATTATCACTGAGCATAGTGCGTATGGTGTAGATTATAATATTAAGTATAAAGGTTTTCAAAAATGTTAATTATGTATAGTAATACCATCGATTAAAGAAAAACTTCAATCATTGCATATACAAAAGATTGTCCCATGTTTTAGTAAGTACTATGTGCGCAGTCATTTTAAAATCCAACAAAGTACGAGTAGGTATCGTTCGTGCAAATAACTTTGAATTACTTCGTAAACCGTATAACAATTAGGCATTCGACCAGAACATTTGTCACTGAGAGACATTTAAAAATACTGAATTACGAGAAACATTAAACACTGTCATAGAAAAGTAGTTCGTTTGGTAGAAAAGTTTTTAGATGGAAACATACAAAATTAATGAAAATGGCAAATCTACAAAGTCGGTAAACATATAAAAATATTTATTACACGGAAACATTGATATATACAAAATCTTTGATATATTTGTAGATTTGCCATGCGAAATAAAACTCGTAGAAAAAATAGAGGTTGCATATTTCATAATATGAACGCATCATGCTTGATGAAAACTGATGTTATTTCGTAGCAAATCGTAACTTTTGCTTTTTTACAAAATCTATCGCTGTACGATCTCCTACTCTTGACTCTAAGGTTTGCAAAATGGGATGACCTATAAATATGTCGGCGGTTAGTAAACTCCACCAGATTAGGGCGACTTACTTTTATTTTGCTGCTGCATCAGTACCAATTCCACCGGCTTTAGACCGTGAAAGTTGTCAACACCGGTACCGGTGTCGGCCACTCCCGGTATACTCCCAAGCGACAAAAACGCTTCGCCGGCAAAATCGTTTGCGGTGAGCACGTCGTGGTCCATCACGGTGAACGCGATCATGGCGCTCGGCGATCGGCACTGTTCCAGCGAGACGCTAAATTCGAAGCACTCGTCGAAAATCGGATGCAAAGTCCTCTTATGAACGTTTGTCTGCTGCTCGTTACAGTGCGGAAATACTCTATGCGGTAACAATTCTATTATCACAAATGGATCGCTGAAACCGTTGGGGTCTAGGGGAATTATGTCTCTTGCGTGAAGCACCTGGAACAAAATGCAACAAGGCGATAAGAATCCCGCCGCTATACAGCTAATTAGTTGTGCAATGCAGAATTGAAAATGGTTCTAAACAAGTATGAATTGTGTATAAAGCGCATTTTTTAAACCGAAACAGCTTAGTACATGGTTCGGTTATAAAGGGAGGAGGAGGGAGGAGCTCTTAACACAAACATTTAACGACCACCTGGCATACATTCAAAATCCTCCGACGCTCTATTCTGCAGATTTTGCCTTTGAGAGTACTTTCCTCCGACAAACCGTTTTCAAGACATTCGCTTTTAAAGTTTTGGCATCACCAATGGATATATTTCTTGCAGAAGTCTCAATAGCCCTTTGTGAGTACCCTCTTCCGACAATCCGACAAGCGCAGTCATTTAAGATACCCATTTCCAACCGACCAGCACCGCCACCACCGAAAGGCCAGCAGACAAAACGATGGAAAACGAATACCGACTCCGCCGACACGTCCGATATTCAAAGTGTCTTCCACCGCTACCCACATGTGCAAGATCATAAGACAAAAATCAGCTAACATCGTTGGAACCCCGCCGACAGCACGGACGAATTCCCCAGGATTCCTACTGGAGCCTTCCCGGGGGGAGGGGCGCAAAGGTCAACATTTTCTGTTTTTCGCTGATATCTTGAAAACGGTGCGTCTAGGAAAAAATTGTTTAAGAGCAAAATCAAAGCCCATAAAATTGTCTACAATATTGACTGTATACACTTTTTCGAAATTCCCAACCGTTTCCGCGATATACATTCCGGAAGGTCGGAAATTTTTGAAAAATCGGTTTTTACCTCAGGTTTTTCATCAAACATTCCTTTATATCCTGTGAACCGATGAGCTGAGAAAAAATCCACCAGGTCCAGCAATGGCTGGAGAACGACCTCTCCCCCGACCAATGGGGCTGGGAAAGGGATCACAACAACCACCTGATACCAGTCCTCACAACCGATCCAGCTGCACCGGAAGAAATACTGTATTTTCTGCAGATGCACGACAGACTGCAGTTCTGCGAGATGTGGGTGCAAAAAGGCCTCCATGCGATGCTCAACCATCTGCCACAATTGCCACGGAAATTGTTTGAATGGGATACCTCTCCAGGAAGAGGAAGAGGGCGAAGAGGACATATACGATGTCGAAATTGTGGATATTTCACCGGAAGATGCTCCACTCGAGGAAGAACAGCCCGCCCCATCCCGCCCGAAGAGACTCAAAAGGTCCACGTCCACAATGTACTAACCTTGCACGTCCACTGCTAATGACAGCGAATAATCCATTCTATTATTTAAATTTTATCATGTAATAATATTAATAATTTTTCCTGGATATGTTACCCACTTGGGTGCCCATTTATTGTCCTTATATCATAAGTAGAAGTTAAAATGGAAAATAGCAAGAGCGTAGGTGACAAATCATTGAAATTGTTGCATATAGAAGATGATGAAAAATTTCAGGAAATCTTAAAACTGCTGTAACTTTTGACTGGTTACGACAATTTGGAAAGGAGCCATATTTTCGGAAAGGAAATTTAATGTTTTACAACTTTTTCGTCGGCGGCTTTTTTCTCAGATAATCGGTTCACAGGATATAAGGAATGTTTGACGCGTGGGTAAAAACAATTTTTCAAAAATTTCCGGCCTTCTGGAGCTTATATCGCGGAAACGGTTGGGAATTTCGAAAAAGTGTATACAATCAAAATTGTAGACAATTTTATGGGCTTTGATTTTGCTCTTAAACAATTTTTTCCTAGACGCACCGTTTTCAAGATATCAGCGAAAAACAGAAAATGTTGACCTTTGCGCCCCTCTCCTCGGGAAGGCTCCAGTCGGAATCCTGGGGACTTTGAGTATGGTTACCTCCTAAGGGGCCCAAACAAGGTTCTGAAGTCAAACCTTCCGCTTCCAACCATACCGGGCATATTCATTCGTTGCCTGGACTACTAAGTTTTTAGTTTTCATTATTTTATCAAAAATTCGGCAATAACTCCAATTACTATGTTAAACCATGAAAATTTTCTAAAGAATTGACACAGACGGAGTGGGGCGCTCATTAAAATGCATGGAAAACAAATATCGCGTACAGTAACTATTTCCGCCGTCGTTTAATATAAATACCTACTTTTTCCTCAGTGAATAAATTTTACAAAAAAAATTATTGACAGTTGTCATAAACTGATATTCATTTCGAATTGAATAACGAATAACGAATTTTTGATAAAAAAATACAACAAATAATAATAATAATATGTATTAATTCCCAAGACAAATTTTGAATACTTCAGAAATACAAAATAAATACAATTTAAAAATGTTGGTCAACACAATACAATGGACAAAAAAGAATGGAATATAAATTATACTAGAGATCCGCAATTTTTATCAATAAAGTTTAGAAATTCATCAATAGTGTATGGTGTATTGACTAGAAGAAATTTTTTAAAGAAGATTTAAAGCACTTTATTGTTCCCTGACTTCTAAGTGTACTTAGAAAAGCATTAAATAATTTAATGCCCATTGAGGTGGGAGCATTATGGGCAAGTTTAAGTCTTGTTAAAGGGTTGTAATTATAATTATAATTATGAAAATTGCTATGACGTAGGAAATGTTGCTGATTTTGAAAAATAAGAGTTAACAATTCAAGTATTTAGAGTGATGAAAGTGTAAGAATATTCAATTTTTTTAATACCGGGCGAGACGAATCAAATTTCTGACTACTCGCAATACATCGGACTATTTGTTTTTGTACCAAAAAAACATTTTTTGACGCGCTTGACGAGCCCCAAACAATTATTCCATACGACAATCTGGATTGAATTTGAGCATAGTAATAATTTAGAGTATGGTTCACATCCATTAATTCTTTAAGATTCCGTATCTGGTAGCAATAAGTGTTTAGTCTTTTAATAAGATTTTCGCAGTGACATTTCCAATTTTTGATCTAAATAGATCCCCAGAAATATCCCAGTGCCTAGAATATTAATGTTTTTATTGCTTGAGTCAAACTCAGACAAATAGTTATTTCCAAAAGTTGTAAACGGTAGGAAAAATGTTTTATCGTGATTTAAGAATAATTTGTTAAATTACTTAGCTTATTTAGAATCTCAATAGCTTTTGCATATATATTTTCTTGCCTTTTACCGGATATTAATGCCGTCGTATCATCCGCATATAAAACCAAGCAATTTAAAAACATGACAATATCATTAATAAATAATAAAAATAAAATAGGTCCTAAAACAGATCCTTGTGGAACCCCCATAGTAACAGGCAAAGCTGTGGATAAAAATTTTGCAATAGTGGGACCGGTTTTAAATTTAATTTCTACTTGTTGACACCTTCCAGAGAGATATGATGAAAACCAATTGGCAACAACGCCTCTGATACCGTAAGTATTTAATTTTTGCAACAGTAACAAGTAATCAACAGTTACAAAAGCCCTGCTGAGGTGACAAAATATAGCAAGGACATTCTGTTTTTTATCCAGAAGTGAAATGATGTCAACAAAGGAGTTAATGGCAATAATTGTCGATTTCCCATTGCAGAACCCGTGTTGTTTATTACTTGCAATGTTATATTTAACAAGGTGACTATTTAGCCTCTCTAACATGGCGTATTCAAAGACTTTTGACAGCGCCGAGCTAACAGAAATTGGTCTGTAATTCGAGCAATCTCGAGAGCAACCTTTTTTGTGAACGGGATGTACGGTTGACAGCTTAAGTTCTTTCGGGAAGAAGACACCGTTTGAAAAAGACATATTGACTAAATGTGTGACAGGATTTATTATAATATGCAAACTTGACCTTAGCAAAGAATTAGGTATATCATCGGGGCCTGAGGAATGTTTATTTTTTATGCTTTTTTTTAAACAATTTAATAATTCCGTTTCACTAAAAGGCAGTGCCCATATACTTTCGCCAATAGTCATATTAGACTCAAAGTTGCTAGTCGAATAAATGTTTCTTTTTATAGAACGTTGAATATTTTGAGGGCCATTAATAAAATCCTCATTAAAAGTATTTGCAATTGTTTGAGGATCGTCAATGATTGTTTCTGAATTTTTAAGAGTAATATTTTTGTGCGACTTTTCATTATTGTTAAGTATAGATGTTTTATTTTTATTGTCGGAGGATTTGATTAAATTGCCATAAAACGATTTCTTACAATTCATAATGTATTGCCGGTATTTACATTTGTGTGTTAAATAAAGTTTTTTAAAGGCGGGATACATCTTATGGAGGTGGTAAAAGTTTTTAAGATCTTGGCTAAACTTTTTAACGGTGCTGTTTACCCATCCTTTTTTCACATATGAGGTATTACGTTTTAAAATTTTGGTCTCTGGGTCCTGGGAACGATGAATTGAAATCTGAATACCGAACGATCCTCGAGACCTTCACGCATCCCTCATTCTTACAACGCGCCTTAAAGGGCTTCTGACCCACCACATCAGAATAACTTGTAAAACAAATTGTTTGAAACGGAGTTAGTTTTACTTTTACTTGAGGTGCCTACATATTAAATTTCAATTAATTAACAAATAAAGAACATTGGGATTGCGCAAATACAAAAGTTGGGTGTTCAGAATATTGTTGCAAATTTAGGCAACACCGCCGACGCGGGTAGACTACCGTTTTGTTTACTTGTACTATCAAAACAATAAAATGGCAGAATATCAACTTTGTAGAAATGAGTGCACAAAAAATGTCGCTGCCTCCTGGACTATAACTTATCCAAGGCGAGGAACACAATCGACAAGTCGAGGAAGCGCCCCGGAGAAATACCGCTGCTCCCACGGAAAAATCTTACGTTCGTTCCTCCGACGGAAGTGCGCAGCTTCGTTCTTCAACAAAGACCCCGAAAAGTACCCGGAGCTGACCGCACCACCTACCAGGCGCTGTAGCACCCAACCCTCGCTTACATCACGCTGCGATAGAGGAAGAAGGCAATAGTGATAATGCTACCGAAGCCCGGAGCAGCCAAACCCTAGAACTACAGACCCATATCGGCCATATCCCTCCTGCCAGTCCTGGGGAAGATATTTGAAAGGGTACTGCTGGCGAAACTGCAACCTAACATAAGACCTGATCAGATCGGTTTTTTTATACAACTCTACAGGACGCGTCTATTTTTATTGCCAGTAGCTTCGAACCCCCGTACACCTACCAGAGATGCTGGACACCGTGTGCGGACAATTCGCGCCCGGACATTTCGCTCCCGGATAATTCGCACCCGGATAATTCTGTAAATCTTTGGTTTATTAAAATTAAATATTTTTAAGAGGCTCCTAGACCATTGCCTTTACAGAATGTATGTAGTAGTGCATCATCTTGGTAAACATCTACTTCATGGAAACATGTTTCAAATAATAGTTATTTGGTCTTTCATTTTCGACACATCGCGATTCTTTAAGTATTTCCATTTCTTAAATATAATCACGCTGGTTTTTTTAAGTTGTATGAAGAGTGATATATTTAAATCCTGTAATTTAAGAACACATCATTTTTATTTACTGCGCTTTCGTTTTGAGAAAATAAGAATAGGTAACTGAAACGTCTTTTGTGGAGTAATTAAATACCAAATAGTTATACCTAGTTATAGTATATCTACAATATTATGTGTAATATTCGCTACTTTTGAGACGCTCTTAATATTAAAACAGAATCAACATATAATACCGTACACAAACAAAGTGATAAGTCTAAAGTTAAAAACATTTACATTATAAGATCAAGATGAAAATAGAAAAAGGAAGTAATTTTAACGCTCCCTTACATAAAGAGAAGACACATAAAAAATTGTACTTTATTTCTTTAGTTGAAAAGGGTGATAAAGGAAATGAATTAAATTTATTTTAGACAAAACGAGTATGTATAAATGACAATAGAACAATGCATTTCATAGATGGCACTAAATTTGGATAAGTAATTAAGATAATATTATAATTAAAGGTAAATTTGAAAAGACCCCGATAACACAAATTGCACTTCATAAAGAAACAATAAGAGAAATATCGTAATGACATCCTTTCTATTATTTCTGTCAAATGAATAGGGTTTATTACAAGGTAAAAGTAATTAGGTCCGAAAAATCAGGTTTAAGTACGTATGACCACAACTAATTAGAACTTTAACGCCTGTATAGTATCTTCATTCTTCAACGTTTGACAGAGTGGCATTTTAAAATTTATCTGAGCACGGGTTTTGATTTTGTGTATACTTTTATTTTAATTTTAAAGAATTTTATTTCTGGTGGTAGTGTTCAGAAAAGGTAAGTTTCCAGTTTTCTTAGAACCAGTTTTACGTTTCTTTGACCACATATGGTTATATGTTGATTATTGGTGACTGAGTAAAATTACACTAACTGCTTATTTTTTTGCGCTATCTTTGCTACAACTATGGTAGTGAATGAACTTAAAAGTTTCTTTTTGATTTTCTTACTGTTATTTAACTTATAGTTTGAAGAGATACATGGAAAAATTCTGGCATTTTTTAAGAGATTGTTAATAATCAAAATCAGTAAGGGTTTTGAAAATCTTGAAACGTTTTAGGAATAGGTCGATATTCATGATTTTTTCTTTTAAATGTTTGTAATTATTAAGTACCTATATACTTCCTTTTTAATTTTTGTATGGCATACCTAGTACTAAAGCAAAACCCTTAGCATTGGTAATTGCGCAACAAGGAAGACCATCATTGGAAAGGCTTTCCTTTTCTGAATTTGGTGAGACTATAAATTTTTAGATTTGATATTTTCGAAATATTTTAAAAGTAAGTAGAGGGCGCGCTGTTGTTTATGCCATTGGAAGGATGTCGGGCCGATCACTATGTAATAGAAGCTAATGCGATCGTGCGTCAAAATTATGCAGTTGCAACTGGTATAAAAAAGAGAAAACTTGTACCTGCAACGTCGAATGCGCTGGAAATGAAACAACTAAACTAAAAAAATTACATATCCGAATTCAGAGATGGGCGACCTTACCAACGACCAAGTTTTATTTTAGACACTGTTTCCTTCCATGGTCAATTTGACGTGCCAAAGCGTTTTTTGAAAATTATTTTAATTTACAGAAATAGCTATGTATCGTTTCTAATGCACCACCGTGTATTAGGTATTTAGCTTCGGAGAAATAACACTAAAATCTCCCCATAAAAATTGTTATAATAATAAATGGGTAGATTTTGGTGTTATTTCTCCGAAGCTTCTTATGCACCCCATTGAGAGTCATGGATCTTCATAATTTCAGTATATTATTTAAATAATAGCCATATAATTTATAGCAAGATCAATTTTTTTCACGATATTTGTCAACATTTTTTGCTTTTCTCGTTACTTTACAGTTCTTATCTCTTTAATTTTACGGAAACTCTCAAGAATGTATTTGTTTTACGTTCAAATATGATTATAATTTACTTGAGATTCTTTTAAGACAATACATACGTATTTCGTTATGTGTCCTTTAAATGGACGACATCGAAGGTTAGAGAACTAGGAAACTTAACTTGCAGCTATTAACAAATAATAATTGTTAAAATTTTATTTAGACTTTTATATTCCTATTGCAATATTATTTGTACGTGCTAAAAGGTTTCCAAATGAAAAAAACCTTGATTGTAAATTGGTATTAAATAGATTTAAGAAATGTCAGGTGACAGTTTTGCTGATAGACCGATACCAGCGTTTAGCAGCATCCGTCTACTTGTGAACATGAGTGCATGGACAATTTACATCACGGATGAGTGTCTTTTTACCTTTTTTTTGTTTTTTTAAAAATAAATTTTCATTCATGGTACCTTTAGCAAGTGCTCGCATGTTTAATACGGGGATTACAATAAAATAAGTACTAAATTCCAGATTTTGAGTGATATGGATGCTATTAAAGTGACCTAAAATCTCTACTGCTTTGATATGATCCATTCCATTTAAAAAGGTACATAGGATTGTACGTATGAATTCTTGCCTCATAAATACTATTAAAAAAATTATTCCTCTACGAATTGTATGGCTATTGTTTAACCAACATAAATATTTAAGTGCCACATTAAAATGCCAAAATCAAGGAAAATATCATCAAAAATGGACTTGTCCCTGAGGCTAAAAGTTGAAATTTGATTTGTTACAAAAAGTTGATAATGGATATGAGATTTAGGCGGTGCAAACTATACGGGTGCGTAACAATGGAGTTCCGTACAACGAAAAGGGTAAAGAGATAAATAATCTATGAAGGATACATGTACCTCTTTGCTAAGAACCTTAAACTCCAAAACTGCTCATCATGGCTGTGTCGAGCGAGAAGAGCAAAGAAGGATCCATCGGCTCTTAGTTTAACATGCAATGCCAGGATCTGGGCCAACGATGACAAGGTATGATTAGCTAAACCGAGCACTGATTTTGGAAGTGCAGATGGTTTCCAGTTTCAAAGCCCTTAATTGGGTATTTTATTAGTTAGGATATCGTCTTTTGACCTTTTGACTTTTTTATACGTAAGTTTCATCGTTGCTTATACCGTCGTCTAATGTTAGTTTTTAGGTTCGGCCCTCCCTTGCAAAAAATTTAGTTTATCAACCTCTTCAAATTTCAATTTTACTCTGGAACCAACCACGGATATGGTCGTTGGGCTTTCCAGTTTTACTGCCCTTTTGGGTTTTTAATTGTTTTCCATCTATTGTAAGTTTTATAGCTATAGTCTCTCCTCAATTATCTCTACCATCTTGTAGATCATCTGAAGATGACCGTTGGTCGAAACATGTAGTGTATCACTTCGTTTTATTAAATTATATGGGAACGGTTTAGAGAACTTTTATTCAATATTAATAAATTATCCCATTTAGAGTTTGAACACAAAATGGACGTCACGATTCCAACTATACAGAGACTAGGAATGCTTACGGAACATCCGATGCTTTCAGCTACGAATTGGCTGTCCAGTGACACTGGTGCCAGCTACTGAATACGTCTAAATGCATATTTATTAACCATGTTTTTAAACCGAGATTAAACTCGCACCAAATTATGCTTGTTGCGTTCGATTCGCATTTTGTGGGTGAATATGAGACGGAGATACAGAGTTTTGTATGCAGTGATCGAAGGTTCTTTGGTTTTGTACAATTAGCACAGTTATAAAAGGTGTAGCACACAAGTATGTCCGAAAATTACTAGATGAAGGGAACCAGCAAACATTTTTAAAAAATAAACCAAAAATTTTCCTAAAGCAATCTTAAGGAAAGTAAAAATCACTTACCTCGACACAAAGAGAATCGTGATTGAAATACGCTCTAACATCCAAAACTCCGTAAGGACCACTAGTCGTGCTTAACTGTTCCTGAAGTCTGTAACCATAAAACAGCTCGATTAGTGGCTCCGTACTCGTCGTGTGATACTGCAAACGCTGTTCGACATGATAAAACGTATCGGAGTGTAGCGTTTCCAGCGGCAATCCTAACGAATCGGCGTGGAAGAATTCCACCATCAGTTCTAAGGCCGAGTGAAGACGATCGTGAAACATCGCCGACATTTCTTCGGCATTCCCTCCGCCGTCTATTTGGTTGTTTAACTCTTTCAGCGCGCATTCCCACACCTGCATTTGGAAAATGTCACCGAAACTTTCACTCGTCAGGAGCTTACCTCAAACAGAACGCGTTGAAAATTTTGAGGGAGAAGCGATATATTTAAGGCAAGAAAGTGATTATGCAAGTAATCAAATAGAGGTTCTACGGCTTGCGCCGTCGGTAACGTGTCCGGCGACCAGGCCAAGTGAAACATGGCCTTCCTCAGCGGTTCCTGCATCTGGGGGCCTATTTTCTTTAATATATCGAAAACCTTAATTTGAAGCTGCTTTAAAGTGGCGTCTAAGAGATTAGTTAATGTAAGGCATTGTGATTCCGGTGCAATTGACTCCAGCGTTATGAAATCGAAGTAATTTTCTACAAAAAGATAGCGCGTAGTGCCGCGTCGCGGAAGGTAAACTCACTCACCTAATAGCGATGTAAATTTATGAACATATTCTAAGTTATTACTTGCAATGCACATCTCATCCGATACACGAAATGGTCCGGGCCGGTCGAAGTAACCGGTTTCCATTAGAGTTTGATATGTTATATCGGAGTAGAGCAGCGCTGCTGAACATATACAATCTAGTAATTGTGATAATAGGGGAACAGATGTTGCTTTAGGCCACTGAAGCAGTCTCCAAAAGTCTCTTAATTGACAGAACATCACAACCACGTCAACTGCCGAAGAGCTGTGCTTGACCAACTTTTCGCTGTCGCACGGTTTCTGGAGGTCAATCGCTGATCGCACCTACAAAGAGAGTACGTACAGAAAAGTCTACTGTCGGTATAGGTAACTTACCCGTTGCAATGCCTTATTTTTACATATCGACAACCAACAACTGACTGACGGTTCAAACCACTCGTGGCACCTCACCAGGTTCAACTTGTGATCACCGCCTGACGGTAAATTTTGACTAAACGACGCTATGTCTTTTATCTCCAGGTAAACTGCGAAAATTAGTCTACTATACGCAGCGTCTGGGTGCTCGTTTTGATTTAAAAACGCTACAACTTCGTCGGCTAGTAACTTATCTAACTGTTTAAATACTACGCTAAAGTAGGGTATTCCATTTGTGCTGAAAAGGGTTTACGTCAGACGGTGAATGTGTGGATGAATTATTACCCTTCGAACAGGGGGTGGTAGTACGAAAGACTGTGTTGCAAGCTGGTGTATATTTCAGAGCAGAAGTCGACGAATGAGCTATCATATTCATCTAAGGTCATAGTTGCTGACCTCAACCCCGAAAACCAATCCGGCGTTCCCTTTCGTAGCGCAGCTACAATTTCTCCTCGAATTTCCTTATTAAACGGGCAGCATTTCCAGAACGCTTTCTGAAACACAATCAATACCGGCGGAAATTTTGAAAGGTTATAATTACCATATTTGAAATGTACGCCAAACATCTAAGTAAATATTCGAGGCGCGACAGTGATGGAGGATGGAGCGCAGGGAACAGCTGCCGATGGTGTCGTATTTGCAGCAGCCACCTTTCTACAGAACGGAATAGTTTATCGAAATCTCCGTGTCGCATTAATTACCTAAGATCGACGTGAAATATTCGGCGAGCCAAATCTCCTCTTCTCGCGATAGCGAAGTAGAAATCCACGCGTGTTCCAAATCTGTTAGTAATTGTAGCATCCAACGGGGATCTAATGGATGCTGAAGATAAACTTTTGCGGCTGCCACGAATCGAGCTAATGCCTTTTGTAATTCGTTTAAATCGCCTAAGGAAAAAGGAAAATGCGTCAAAACGAGTTTCTCAATCCGACAAAAAGTGCTGCGCTAACTAATTGGTCTAGTCCTTACAAATGAAATAAAGGTCGTGTCGAAACTTTTGAATTATTCACATACGGTACTTTCGAAAAGTCGACAAATTCGTCCGGAAAACTCTCATTCGAGGACTCATTTCCTGAACATTCGCTAATTCCCAAGAAACACTTGCTTCCAGGCACTCCAAGAAAGCTCGATATATTCACTACTGAAAATCAGAACTGAACGAAGAGGAATTGGAAGAGTTCTCGGAAATTTTCTGTATCCAATCCAGCTAATGCGTCCAACGAAAATGGAAAATTCCTTTATTACTCGTCAAAACAAGTTTCCCATTCGAAAATCCGACCATATAATATGCTGCGCTATCACACTAATTGTGTTTTGTGGAAAGGTTTCGAAAAGAGAAAGGAGATTATTAAACTTTTAAAACTTAGCCGACATATTTCTGAAGTTATTAGAAATAAAATAACAGTTCTCTGTTTAGTCTCGAAATTTTATCCCGTAAAATTTGTGGCGATTTATACTGGAAACTGAAATCTTGCAAATTCTTTAATAAATTCGCCTATCACTTAGTAGAGTAGTTTTTGGAAAATCGTCGTCGGAAAACTTGCCCCAGAGAATCTCCTTCGAAATATTTGCCCTGAAAACATTGTCCCAACACCACACGCATTAGGAATGCCCCCGGGAAATTGTCCCCTACTAGTAATATTGGCAAAAAACTGCCTAAAATATTCATTCGGAAACACGTCCTCGGAAATTTTTTTTGTGTTGGGTTGTCTTGTCACCGGCCGAATATTCGTGTTTCAATGGGAATGTAAAATCGAGAGTGAAGCGAAGACAAATTTCTCGGGGGCGTACATAATTCCGGTGGAGAATTTTCTAGAGGCAAATTTATCTGGGGGAAAATTCCGGGAGATTATTTGGGAGTCAAATTTTCTGCATATCGCGCGGAATTTAAGAATTCTGCAGATTGAAAGATGCAGCTGTCGAGGACAGAGCGAGATTGTTTTAACTTCGTTTAAATGAAATTTAAAAAAATGAAAAATTATGTACCATTCTCTAAACCAGTGTCCCATTGAAAATCTGACAAAAATCTAGTAGCGTTTGCGACACTTCGAACTAAAAATTTATTCTTCACGAAATCCTCTATAACACAGGTCAACAAAATAGTTATTTGTTTCATTAGTACAAAAAATGTCAGTTTTCGGGACGAGGAAGATAGTTGCTGGACGACGCGTTAGCGGAGTCCAGCAACCTTCCGAGTCCCGAAAACGCATTTTTTGTACGAATAAAACATAAAATTTTTTCTCCAACCCCCTTTACTTCAAATTATATTCGAATTTAGATTCAGTATCAGTTTCACTACTAGTATAAGAACTTCTGCTTTCTTGTCCTCACGTGTCATGCCACTCTAGTTTTTAGGTTAACTTATAACCTATTCGTTCTTACTTCTCCCCTCTCGCGACTTTGTAGGGAGCAAATCTTGAGGTAGCATGTTCTGCCGTTTCTATAATCTCTGGCGGAGTGCAATCCATGTCGCTATCAGTTTCAGTCATTTTATTGTATACACAATTAATATTGTTATATTTTGTATTGAAATAAAAAACTTACCGAACAGTTTTTAATTAAAATTAATTGCAATTAACTTTTTCAAATGTTGAATTCAAAATGACAGATAATAGTGCAAGGGGTCTGAAGTAGATGGCGTTACGCGCGACGGCGGGTTGTATACGTATTAAAATTACGTTCATCGAATATGTAAATTACGTTACACATAGTTTAAATAAAAATAGCGAGCGTAAATCATTTTCAATACATGTACATACGTATAGGTGACATCATTATTTGCATTGAATATGCAAAAAGATTTGATTTGTATCTGTATGTATAGAAATATCTTATAACCTGCAATGTAAAACGATGTCAATGTGACATATCTCCGTGATTGTAATTTTTTAATTGGCCAACTTTCAAGGTCAATTTCTTTTTGGTACTAGGACCAAAAGTATCTACTTTTAGTACAGTTGCCATGGTGAAAGCGATTAATCCGCAAAACGTCAATTTTACGTACCGAACACTGTCACAAAATAGCGTCTTATTCAGGTGGTTGGAGAAAAAAATAATTTTTGTTGCGCATGGGATTTACATAATATATTCTGACTATAATAAGCAAAAATAAATAAAAAGTGCAATTAGACATCGAAAATATTTGCTTTTACAAAAGTTATAGCGATTTGATTGAAAGCTTTCAGGGGCGAAAATTAAAGCTGGAATCTTTGTTTTCCCTCAAATAAAAAGAAAAATGGAGGGTGATATCTTCCCGCGGTTACTTAGCAAAGAGGAAAAAAATCCTGGAACAGTTTTAAGGCAATAGTCCATGGTTTCCCGTTCAGTGTTTCCTGGGAAACCATAGAGCTAAAAATTATGACGAGCTGACGGGTTTTGGTTTTGCATCATCGAGTATAAAATGTCTCTAAAGATGCACAGGTTAGATTCTCATTTAGATTAATTTAAGGATAATATGGGACCTTATTCGGAATAACAAGGACAGCCCTTTCATCAAGACATAATGGAATTTAGCCACGTTACCAAGGCCAGTAAACTGGAAGCATGATGGAAGATCATATTTGGGGGGTTGATGAGAAAAACTTCAGTTGAACATGTCAAAAACACCAAAACTGTTCCATTTTTAAACATTTAGACTCTAAGCCAAACAGATTATAAATGTAGGAACGTTACCTTATAATAAATCATGCCTATGTAAGTAAGATTTTATAGGTATTTTTATTTTTTGGTTTTTTGCATTTTTTTCGCACAAAAACAAATACATAAACTTTTTTTGTTTTAATTCTTATTTGTGGCTATACAAGCAATACAAATAAGGTATATATGTCCCATGCGCAAAAATGCTGTAGACCGGTGTAATAGTTGCTTCGGAAAATTTACCTAAGAAAATCTCCCGCGAAATGTTTGCCCCACAAAATTTGTCCACATTGAGAATGTTTCCGAAAAATTTTCACTATTCGCGTTTGAATATTCACTTCAGCAGAACCTCACTATCGCACTAATGCGGATGTATGTTCCCTTCTCTCCAGCAGGTGCATCTTTCAGGGTTAAAGAAGCAATATTGACCGGTCCGTCCTCTCACTCTGCTATAGTGAGCATGAAAAAGTATATGTGTAAAACCCAAACATGCTTATTAGCCTCGGGTTTAATTCTAGTTTCTTTATTATCTTTATTAAAAGTAAATAGAAATGCAAAATATGTATGGTAAATCTTGTGTATAAATACTTGAGTAGGTATAGTTTTAGTTTGTGTGAATATAAAGTTAATAAAGATTTTTTCATTCATTCATTCTTATTTGCCTAGTTAAACAGGTAAATAGTAAAAATTTATTAGATGATTATGGGAGTTTAGAGATTCGTAAAAACAAACACTTCCAAATGAATAAACCCCTAAAGTGCATCTAAAAAAGCGGCAGAGATTTGATGTATTTTCAATAGGCTTCTTACATGTGGTATATGTCAACAGTTATCGTGCTCACGGATATAAAGCTTGCATCGTTTTGCTCTACCGCTTAATAATGATGAAGGGGGTCAATCAGAGCTCGTAAACTTTCACTTTCAACAGGAGAATTAATGAAAATTTGAAAAATTAGCGAAAGACCAAATTTGGAGAAAAATTGTAAAGAAAACCTTCAAGATCAATTAGCCTTCGGGCTGAACAGTAAAACGATCCGACAACGATTGCTCGTGGAGACACCACTCACTTTCCAAAAAGCGCAGGAATTGCTGTGGGTATGGAAGCAGCAAAGACCAACTCCCATTTGATAGTGGTGGTAGTGGTGGTTCATAAATTGTGCACAGATCTTGTGCAGATAATAAAGCGCTTTTTTGAAACCGAAATAGCTTAGTAAATAATAAGGTAGTATAGCATGCTATATTTATCGATGTTTGGCTTCCTCCTAGATTATTAATGTTTTCCCTTGGTCGGTACTTTCCTCCAACATTTTCGTTTACATGATCTTTCCGCCCTTAAAGTACTCCCTTCTTCCCTTCCGCAGATACGAGTAATTGCATGAAAGTAAATGTGTTTCATTTGACCTTTGTGAGTACTTTCCTCCAACAAACCGGATGCGACATATTCGCTTTTAAAGCTTTAACATCACCAATTGATTATTTCTTCCAGACGTCCCAATCGACCTTTGGGAGTACTCTCTTCCGACAAACCGCTCTGAAGATATAAGGGAATATAATATATACCCCCCCCCCCTTAAGACAGCGAAATTTGATGGCCATTTGGCACACCTTCAAGGTATAGGCTACCTGCTGCAGTAAATTCAACGACTCTGGGACAATTTCCCTAAAAGTAGTTCAAAACGGCAGAAGTGGGTTCGGGCGGATGGACGGACGACCAAAACGCAAACAATAGCACATTTTTTTTTAATCTCGTTTAACACTATTAGGGCACAATTAAATAACCTTGACTACACTTAATTTAACACAAAAATTAGTGTACGGTGATTGAAATGATTTAAATGTTTTTTTTAAATAGAACGTAGGTATATTTAAAGCAGAAATTAAATTTTAACTGTTTGGTTATAACTGGTGTCTGGTTCCTTAGGGTTATTCGGATAGTTGTTCGACGGCTTCGGTGAATGACAATTGCAGGAAAAAAGATAGGGATGAGTGTAGAGGGACCCATTGGAAAAGAAATTTGGAGAGTATCGATAGCAGATTGAAGACAACAAAGGAAGAAGGCTCGAAGATTACTCGACAGACCGCAGTACAGATTTTTAACACACAGAAGTAAACAAGTATTAAAAAGGCCCTTCATTGAGATCATGAAAAATAAAATTCATTTCCAACTAAGTTTTGCTTAAGGTAATTCCAATTTGACAACATCGCGCATCTCAAAATATAAACAACTTATAAATTAATTTCACTTTAAAACGTACTCTGTAATTGTGCGTAGGAAAACGAGCAGTGCAAAGAACCTGAGGGAAAAAGAACGCGAAGAGCTAATTTTTCTATATCGGAAAAGCCATTATTAACGATCCTCGAGGTCGTTTATAATTTTGTATTGGTGTCTGTCTGTCGTTGTTTAGAAACGTTTTGAAAATTGGTATACACTTGCTCTTAAATATATAAGAAAGGTCGCTACGGCTTTTCAACTACGTAGACTATCAGGCCAAAAAGTTACAGCCCAAAAACAATCTCGAGGATCGTACGGTATTCAGTTGTATCGAATTTTTATTTTACATTATAGTAAAATAAGACACATTATCGAAAAGAAAAGAATATATGCAGTTATCTAGAAGGATAAAGAAACTACTTGGAAGAAAACTGCTGTGGAGGTGATCAGGTCTACAAACCTACTCCCAAGAACAGAAGTTTCTTTAAAGAAGCTGTACAATAATGCGAACAACAGAACTGTTAGGCAATTCTTAAACTTAACTGAAGTAGTGGCGGATCCAGAGAAACTTTTCAAAGAGGGCACATTGTCAATATAACACTTTTAACTTTGCTCGCCCCCAATTTCGGTGACAGAGAGCAGATTGTACGTACTACACATTTTTGGAAAGATAGGATGTGGGCAATGTAACGGAAAAACTGTAAATTGCGTGGTTCTATAACAAGGGTGCTTTTTGCCTGTTCGCCAAGCCTTTTTGGATTTTGCCAGAGGGGACAAGTGCCCTCTTTGCAACAACATTACTGATATTCGCGATACTTTTTTAGCTCATTTTAAGATGGTTTTGTCTGTCCGCCCGGATCCACTTCTGCGGTTTTGAACTACTTTTAGGCGAATTTTCCTAGATTCCTGAAATTATTTGTAATAGGTAGCTTATACCTTGAAGGTGTACCAGAAGGCCATCAAAATTTGTTGTCTTTAGGCCTTCCTCCCCTATGAATTATTTCCTGAGATCCTATTTTTGAAAGTAAAACGTGCATAACTTTTACATGTGACCAATTGCTCTCAGACCAACTAATTAGAAGATGGTGGCGAGGGGGGGGGGGGGAATACACGTTATACCTTTCACGGTATTCTAATGAAAGGTATGTCAAAACTTTCAGTGCAAATATCTGCAGAATGGAGTGTTGGAGGAGGGTACTCTCTAAGGGTGGAAAGATCATCTGAACGAGGCGCATCATTTGCCGATGTGAAAGCTTAAATTGTTGGAGAAGAAATACCCACAAAGGAAAAAAACAATATTTCTCTGTGTGTGATTCTTATTATTCTTATTTGACCTAATAAAAATTTGAGGAGGAAGCCCCACTTCTACTATTTCCAAGATTTCGAGATCGTCATTAATAACGTCCAAATCATGGTGGACCTAATACGTCATCGCAAGTGATAAGTGACCTAGATTTAGTAAAATCTATGCCTGTTGTGCCTACAGGACAGGTATCAATTGCAATTTAAATAAAGAATTTGCAAAATGTTGAATTGCATTCTTTGCGTTCCCGGGCAATTTCGTTCCAGAGACTACTCCCAGATAATTCAGCCCTTCCCGTGTTGGACTTTCTGAAAGTGTGCACTCTCCTCAGTATTTCCTCTCCGAATATTCATCCGAAAATACTGTGTACAGGTGTACATGAATTTTCATTGAGGCGAAATTATTTTGGGAAGAATAAAGTATTACTGAGGAAGCAAACAAATATTCCCAGGCGGTCTCTTGGGAAAAATTTCTACAGTATGGACCTCCACCTGGAACATTCCCCCCATGAGTTCGCCTTGGAAATGTTCTCCACTGAGACATTGTCTGTATATTTCTTTTCGATTTCGGAACATTGTGAATACTATACAGAGTGGCCTAACGAGAAGTATAGTGCAAATGGCACGTTATTTGAAAGCAAATTTAATCGTGATTACTAATCTGCTTTGCTTTTTAAATTCTATTGATTCGTTTCGGAGATATTTGCATTTGAAATGGTTTTTTCTAAAAAAAACCAAAACAAATGCGATCTAAGTCACCTTGTATTAAAAAAGGTTTAAATTGTGAAAAAAATAACAAATAACTTTAAACAAACAACATTTATTTCAATAACTGCTCGAATTGCCTTCCGCTGTTGCAAGATTTCAGGGGTAATCGCTCGAAATTGTTGTTATACCATAGTGTATTCTATTCTTACACTATGGTTATACGTGCTCGCAACCCTTGTAATGTTCTGAGCGGAGTAGCATAAACTTTATTCTTTAAATATCCCCAGAAGAAGTAATCTAAAGGACTTAAATCAGGGGAAAAAACCATTTCAAATGCGAATATCTCCGAAACGAATCAATAGAATTTAAAAAGCAAAGCAGATTAGTAATCACGATTAAATTGGCTTTCAAATAATGTGCCATTTACCACAGGATTCCATTTAAAATTTTAGGGGTTAAGCTCCCTACGTAGAGAGGTGAAAACTTGGGTTCGTGATTTGTATTCCAAAAGTTGTCCCCCTCGAATACAAAATTGATGTGTTCGAGGATTTTTCGAAATTTCTAAATTTAATACCCTAAAAGCCCTCTGTATACTTCTCGTTGGGCCACTCTGTATACAGATTGCAAGTAGGCAACTATTCCGTACATTTTTAGTTACCGTACCATGTCGAAAATAGTAACTGGTCAAGAATTAAAGGTCAAGTAAATTCGTATGTCTAATAGTGGTAAGCCAATTTTACCCACCTTGAACTGCCTGCTGATGTAATATGGTAAGGGCCGGTCCCGGTAAATCACCAGACCACGTCCAACTCTCCTCCGTCCAATTCCGCAGTTCGTAATCCACGAAGATCGCGTATAAGCTTTCGTGTTGCCTAACTTCGGTCCAATTGTCCTCTTCCGAAATACCTCGATCTTCTCTCGTCGAAAGCCACATCTTCAGCCGTATTCTTCCTTGTACGGAGCTTCGCTGCGATCTCGCCTCCAGCTTAAACCATCCCTCTAAACCGGTCGACGGAATGTCCGATAATGGAATCGTAACGCACCCCAAAAAGTCATCCTGGGAACTTTGCCGTGCCGATTGACAAACTTGCTTGAAGAAGCGACCCAAGCCGCGAACGCCGCGTACCTCGTTTAGCTTACTGACGGCCTCTAGTACAGAACTCTCGTCGTCGTGGTCCCAAATGTCTAAATGGAGCGAGTCGCTGCTCGGGTCGTCGATGTCGCTGAAACAAAAATGTGCATTTCGTATAATCGAAACTGGACGTGCTTGTGCACGTCAAAATAGTTTCAACGTGGTTTGGATACTTGTCCGCACATGCTTCCATTTACCAGTAAATTAAATGACACATAATTTCCATGGGAACGAATGTTTTTAAAAATTATCGTCAACTCTCCTTAAAAGCTTTATATGAATTCGAAAGTTCGCAAACATCAGTGCAGTCTTTTTTCCTTTCTAAACTTATTTGCCGCTGACTGCAATGTACACCCGAGGGTTGTCATTGTCCAACAAACAAATTTCAAGCTACCATGTTCGGATTAATGCACTATTTCTGTATTTGCAGTAATGAGACCACTAATAAGTTTATGAACTGTATGTGAAATCGAAATTCCATCTATTTTCAAATTAACAAACTTCCATCATTACTCGGCGAATCTAAATTTCAAGATTATTTATTTATTTTATTTTATTGCCTTTATTTTATAGTGGGCGGAGTGTTAGCAATTTGCTACTCTTCCCACTCAGCCCACTATATAATCACAAACAGCCATGCCTTACCTGGGATTCGAACCCAGGACCCTTGTAGCCAAAGTTGAGCTTCTAACGCAAAGATTGATTTTGAGCTCATGGTAAAAACAATGCTATCCATGCTCACGGACCGTGATCCATGCTGTCTTCTGCGCTTACCGAAACTATACATTATTACAGAAAATTGAAAATTGTTTAGGGGACATTGAGGATAACTTGAGGTGCACTTCAAAGATGTTGAAGGAACCGTAAGGGAACTTGTGTAAAATTTAAATTGGAACTTGAAAGGAAGAATGAATTTTAGAACATCTGTACATGGGGATATGCAAGTATGCATAGTGATGTGGCGGTTCGCATACGTTATACTTGCATATCCCGCTGCAAAAGTATATCACGCGTCCGTCCCGCTAAAGTTGCAGGTAAAAAAAGAAAAGAATTTGATTGGAGCTTGAAGGGAGAAAGAGTTGACTTAAGAGAGGCATAGAAAGAAACAGAAAAACAACCCGGAGAAACATTAATGAAAGCATGCTAACAGTCTTGTTAGAAAATGGAAATGATCTGGGATATAATTCTACATTGTGCTTCGAGCAGCCGTTCTGAGCTTCAACGACCACTTCGGCCATTTTCAACGATGTTCCATCCACTTCGGATCGTTATTATCTGAGCACCGCCGGAGCGGTGTATACGAAGCTTAATCGCAACCATCAAAAAGAGAGGTAACCCCGGCGGAAAAGGTACTCTGCTCTGTCCTGCGAACGGGCAGTCACCCCCATTGCTGCCGCAGGTGCCACACCGATGGAAGCCGACACTCGCCTAAAGGCGATTCAACCGACCTACCAACTATGTCCGTACATTACAAAATCTACGACCGCCAGCTTTGGCTGCAACATTCGTCATCTACACCCCTAGGTCAAAATTTGCCGCTCACATAAAACGCGATAATTCCAGAGAAGCTATATATTCAATAAATGATGACAATGCTCAATTTCTTCAAACATTTGTCACATGGATTGAAAATTGGAATAGGGACAATGGTTTACCGGGACGATGTGGTAAACTGACAACGGACACATTTTATTCCATTACTCATACTACAAAAGCTTTAATAAAATTAGTTGACCACTGTTTAAATAATTTGGGTTTCGAATACCTTCTTCTTGGCAAATTGCAGTCTGACGATTTGGAGGGTAGATTTGGTAAATATCGTGGAATGTCTGGCTAAAATGATCACATTAGTGTGGCTCAGATATTAGAATCCGAAAAAAAACTAAAAATTCTAAGTGTCTATTTACCTTATATTAGTCACGGTTCCACATTAAAGATTTTGTCGCTTCATGTAAGGAAGAGGAACATCTAAATTTGAAGGTTATTTAACGGTATTGATACGGATTCTGTTGTTATTACCGAAAATGATATCAAAATTTTGGCTTACCTAGGAGGATATGTTATACAAAAATCATTTCAAAATAAAATACTTTGTGAAGTTTGTGCTCAGGAGAAGAAATAATGAATGATGATGTCAATTACAAGTACTTACAAATCACTGATCGCGGTGGTTTAAAGTACCCCACAAAGTATTTAATAAATTGCCTGATTAAATGCTTTCAAATTCTAATATCTGAGAGATATGAAAAGGATTTTGTAAACGTAAATTGCCAAAAGACATTGTTAATAAAATTAAGTTGATGGAAGTTGACAGTTCCGAAATTTGTGATAAATGTGGTGTAAGTGAAGAGAAAATTATTCAAACATGTCTTCGATACTGTGCTAATATTTTGCTAAATAATTATTCAAAGACTAAAAACAACTAAATTAGGGAAAAAGAAAAAATAATACCTAAGCGATAAGCGCCCGAAAACCTGAAACGGGATTCAAAAGACGCCAAAAAAAGAGAAAAAAGGACCAAAGGAGAAATAGGCTGAAAATAGAAAAATTAAAAAATTGAAAAGTTAAATTAATTTCAGTTAGATTTCTATGCCATATTCATTTTTTGTTACCTCTTGTTAATTCTATTGAAGTTAGATTAGTTTATTTATTACTTTAGAATTTAATGTAATTGTTATTTTTCGTTCTCTTAGAAATAAATATCCATTATTTATTATTGAATGCTTACCATCATATAGCAAACATAGTAACATTTGTACCTGCATAAAATAACCGCCAGGGAAGCGCATGCTTGTGTATGTCTCCGACTGGCGCTAGCGAGATTTAATATGGTGGCCTGAAGCTAACGTAGGCCACGATTGGACTCATTTTCAATTGGCTTGTTACTTGTGGTATATACAGAGTGGCCCAACGATAAGTATACAGATGGCTTTTAGGGTATTAAATTTACAAATTTCGAAAAATCCTCAAACACGTCAATTTTGTATTCGAGGGGGACAACTTTTGGAATACAAATCACGAACCCAAGTCTTCACCCCTCTACGTAGGGAGCTTAACCCCTAAAATTTTAAATTGAATCCTATGGCAAGTGGCACATTATTTGAAAGCCAATTTAATCGTGATTACTAATCTGCTTTGCTTTTTAAATTCTATTGATTTGTTTCGAAGAACTGACAGGTTCACTTAAGTTTAAACAAATTGAAGCGTCAAAATAAAATTTTAATAAAGGTGACTTCGCATTTGTTTTGGTTTTTTTTTATAAAAAACCATTTCAAATGCGAATTATCTCCGAAACGAATCAATAGAATTTAAAAATCAGCAGATTAGTAATCACGATTAAATTGGCTTTCAAATAATGTGCCATTTACCTACCATAGGATTCCATTTAAAATTTTATGGGTTAAGCTCCCTACGTAGAGGGGTGAAGACTTGGGTTCGTGATTTGCATTCCAAAAGTTGTCCCCCTCGAATACAAAATTGACGTGTTCGAGGATTTTTCGAAATTTCTAAATTTAATACCCTAAAAGCCTCTGTATGCTTCTCGTTGAGCTACTCTGTATGTTAACTGTGCAAATTTGAACAGAATAGGTTCAAGCGTTTGGCAGGGACAGAGAAGCGTGACCCCACGGGGTCATTGGATTTGACCCATTTTCAATAGGCTTATTACTTGTGACATATCGGTCCAAGCGTTTGACAGTTATATCGTGTTCACGGACAGACGGACACCATCGACTCCCCTATAAAGCTTGCATCGCTTTGCTCTACCGCTTAATAAAGCATTTAAACAATGGCGATAGTAAATAATTTGAACGCATGAAAGTACGGGTAGTGAGACCCCTCACAAGAGGGTATGGGGGATAGACTTTAAAAATTATACCTTGAAATCGCATTGTAAAGTATTTCTCACTGCAAAATTAATAAAAAATGTTTTATATTTATTTTTAAGCGAGTGTTTATCTAAAAACAATAAAACCATGGGAATTAGCTGAAAAAACAGGTTTTATGTCACAATGCAGAAGTATAGAACATAAAAAGAAAAAAAAACACAATAAAAATTAGATATATCTACATGCATTTTTGAGCAAATTTGATCTTCTGGTTTTTCTGTTTCCGGCGCATGGTTTTCGCTTAAAAAATAAAAATCCTTTTACTACTACGATTTTTATGTTTTTAAGCGAAAACCATGCGCCGAGAAAAACCAGAAGATCAAATTTGCTCAAAAATGAATGAGGATTAAAAAAATTATTTTTATTTCAAGAGAAAGCAGTGGCGTAGTATTTTTTCTCCAAAAATTTTCAATGCAAAAGCCGTACGGACGCCACAGGTAGAGAAATTAAAAACTTTTGCAAATTAGAAAATGCATAGAAGACATGTACCAAATTTCTCAACTTTATCACTATTATTATTAAAAAACTGATTTTTTTAAAACTTTACTACCCTCTGTATCTCAAAAATTAAAACGTTTAGGACATGCGTTCATCGGAAGTTTTTTTCTTAAAATGGGTCCAAGAATCATCTCCTTAAAGATTAGCATGTCTTTAAGGAACACTCTGTATAAACAATAACCGCGAATGAATAAGAGAATGTAGAACTACATACGAGACTACATCTTATGCCCGGTTTCACAAACGATGCTTAAGGTTAATCATTGAATAAAAATATTGGAATGGAAAATATCTTACCTTATAATCAAAGGTGGCCAACGTTCTAATATTTTTAATCAATGATTAACCCTAATCATCGTTGTGAAATAGGGCATTATTATTGTTTTTTGCGCGATCGGTCATTTCTGACTATTTACCATGGGTGTTTCCATGACAGTAGGTAGAATTTACCAGTTGCTATGATTACGACGACGTCAAAATTACTTACCGATCTAAAAACAGAACAGCAAAAATACTTACCGACGCCTTTTTAAAAATCAACAGTCTTACATTACATTTAATCTTTAATTATTGTTAGGTACATTAAACGTACAATTTGTGCTGGTTGTTTCCTATAGAAAGACGCTCATAAAGTCATAAAGGAAGTTCAAAGCTAGTAAACTACATCAGATACATGCACATTTTTATGAAATTATTAACTTCAATT